ACTTCCAACAGCATGGGGGTGCCAGGAGATGCAAGATTGGCCGCTGTAGAGCGTAAGGTTCCCGCGCAGCTTAGCAGCTCGGATGACGACCTTAATGAGGGAGTTGTTTTGTGTGGGAGCCTTGATCCATCTTGCCCCGTCCAGTCCATGTTGAGTACCTGGAGGCCATGACTAGCCGGGACGAGCCGGGGCGTTCTTTCCTTGCCCTGCCTAGAGAAGGCAGGTGTTGCCAGCCAGGCTCCGTCCAAGGGCTTCTGTCGCCAGCCCTGATGCTGCTGAGGGCTAAGATGTCAGGCAAGACCAGTTGTGCTCAGGAGATCCGGGGCTCACAAGGCAGTGAGTTTGTCTGTTGCGAGATAAACAGGGAATGGGTGGTGGTGGATGGTGCCCAAAGAGGCAGGGTTCGTTCTGTGTGCTCCAAAATTCTGCAACTAAAATCTTACTTGGCCCAGGGGAGGACCGAGGACGACGGGCAGGACAATCGCTAACCTTCTGCCTTGCTTCTCGTTTCCAAAAACACTCCCCTGTGGCTGCTTTTGCGACAAAATGCCGACCTCTGTTAGACCTTCGGGTCTGATTGGGCATGGCGCTGTGGGCAGAGGTGGTTGGACCAGGAAGCTTTGTCTTGCTCGGTAGGGCTTGGCCTTCCAAATTTCTCAAGTGTTGTGTACATTCCACAATAACATCGGCAGCCTTGAACTGTTCTGCACTCGGAGACTGCCGTGATTTGCCCAGGGTGCCATTTTCACCTAGCTTTTGTTCAATGATTCTGAAAGACTGTGAAAAAGGGATGGCGTAAAACCAGGTTCCAATTCCCCTCCCACCGGCCGATGAGCATCCTTGGCCACACACCAGAAGTGATCTGAAGTTCCCTTGATGCACGACAACTTCCAGAGTTGGGATACTGGATTCTGGGCTCTGAGAGTTACAGTTGGAAAAATGCAAATATTTCCAGGCCCTTTCTAACTCTGAAACAAATTCATGTTGGTGTAAGGGTGCGACCTCCTGCTTGCAATGGTTCCTGCAGTTCTACAGACTTAAAAGGTTCCCTGTGTGATCCTGTTTCGGCAGAATGTTTCGGCATCATGCACAAAGCCCAACATTATTTGCTCCGGAAAAAAAAATCAAATGCTGGGTACCAAAGGCGTTTACACACAAATCTTGCCTGAATTTTTAACTCGGTACGTTGCATTGCCTGGACGGTGCAATTACGGCAATGTGCTGAGAATCTTGGCCAACCCCGGTTATAATGACTGTAATAGTGTGGATGTTTACATCTGTTTGGCGGCGGAACCAGAGCAGGTGATGGGTTGCGGGTTTCCAGCTGTCCCCAGCTGTCCTTGCATGTTTGACCCTGTCCTTGTTCAACCATCTGTACAAAAACCTTAAGACGTTGCATGGGCTCTGCCCAGAGGCTCACAGCTGGAAGCCCTCTCTGGGCAGACCAGGAGGAGGCTGGGGTGTGCGTTCGCACACTGAGGGGTGAGTCAGCCATTTCGGAAGTGCAGCAACCAACTCAACAAGCCCCAACTTGGGAGATGACCTGGAGGACTCCTTATTGTGCACGAAACCAGAAGTTCACCAGCCCTAGAGAGGCTTGGTTGGGGGCCAGGTTGAGGAATTCCCGACCGCTGTATTGTGGCAAAGCTTTCGTTAGGCCAGTGGAGAGGATGCAAAACCGGCATGATCTTCGGAGGGACCCCTAGGCTTCTATTATGGGCAGGATGTTACAAAAAGCAAGCAGAGGAGCGAAGGCCACACGTTCTGTGTATTGAGTTAAGTTGTGACCGAAGGATGGGTCTGTAGACGTGTGGGATTGCCATGTGTGCAAACCTCCCTCCCAAAGAAGAGAAAGGGAGTGAGGACCAGTGGGCATAACATTGCACCTGCCGATAAAGATGTGGGAAAGACAGTGATGTAGCAGATTGAGTGTTGGAAGAGGACGAAGGGGACCTGCGTTCAGAACATCCCGCTCAGCCATGGAAGTTCAGAAATTCCATTGGGGCTCCGTACATTGGGAACAGCTTTTTGGCCCAGAAGGTCAACCGTTTCAGTGTCTACAGATTCAAACTCGGAACGGTTATTTGCAGTTTAAATGAAACAGCCGTGCCTGCCCCTTGAGTCGCAGGAACGCTGGTGTGTGGCTGGCGTGGCTCCTGCCCGGGTGCCACTTGGTGGGGATGATGGGCGGCTTTAGGACCCCAGCCTCGGGGGGGAATCAGGCTTGGTTTGGAGGATCCCCTTTCAAAGGGAGGAGTCTTTTTAAAGGAGGGCTTTCCTCTGGCTCTCAGTTCTAAAGCAGGGCACCCAGCGACCCCAGAGACCTTCACGCCAAGAAACCTGGAATCTGGCGATTCTAAAGAAGTGACCCTGGAGACCTTCACACCAAGAAACCCGGAATCTGGGGGGCTGTCAGAGAAGCGTTCAAAAGCCATTGGCCTTGTGCCTGTGGATCGGAGAAGGTTCCCTTCCAGAGTGAAGGCATCCAGAATGAAATAGTGGAGAGCAAGGAAGCTCTGTCGATTGGAAAGCCCCCCGCATGCAAAGAATAAGGTTACACAAAAAAAGAGATGATGAT